CCTGCGAGAGGTAGCTCGTACGGTTCAATCCGTTCTGCTGGCGACCTTACGATCAAGTTAAAACATGCCAGCCTTTGCTGTCAGTTAGTCTCAACTCCAGGCAACTGCCAAAAGAAGCAAGCTCAGATCGATGACGAAAGCTAGCTAGCTCACTTGAGGTGCACACTTCTCTCATCATCGTGGTGACCTTGAGAATCACGCAGTGTGCAGAAGTGGACGTGAAAGGGAAACTGCAGCAAAGTGGAGCTTGCACGACCCGATGCTTCATGTACACATGCAAGGACCCACAAAGATAAGGCATCGACGCTGCAAATATGCTTGCGCACACAGATGCTGGGCGACCGCCTGCGCCGACAGTCGACTGTAGTGTCCAACATGATATCAGAGTTGGAGCTATTTTTGAGGACGTCCGTTCCATCCTCAGATGAGGGCTCTTCCAGCTTTTGGAAGGTGGCGACGGCATCTTCACCTGCAGCGGCAGGTACTAGGCTCAACACACGAAGGGGTGGGGAGGGACATCAACGTGAGATGTTAGCGGCTGGTGCCACGAGATCCTCGCGTCTTGCTGACCCTCATCCATCCGCCATGAGCCGCTTGATCACAAAGAGCACATGGCAGCAGAAGGAAGATGGAGCCATTGGAGCCCGCAGATGTTCTCCCACGCGCCGCTTCAGGAAGGACAATGATGTGGTTGCTCAATTCAAACACTTTAACTAATGGACATAGCCCAATCCCGTTCAGATGCCACGGCTGCATCGTGCCGAACTGAAGAAGTTGAATTGTGGGACAGCCGTGCAAGTATATCCCACGTGGCTACAGCACTCTGCTTGGATGAGTCTCAGGATACCACCGATATCAATGGCAGCCTTGGTTTATCGAGGTGATGTTACGAGTGTCGCGAGTCAAGTGCACTTTGCATCATGACCGTCAGGGCACTCTCGCATCTCCTTTCGCCAAGTAGACGGACGTGAGCAACTGCTTAGCCTGCATAGAAACGCATGAAACTCTGATTGGTGTGCTCGCAATTACCACCGCGTGCCTTCGCTGCAAGTTTGTCTTCCTGGAGCTCATCGTACAAGCTCGCCATGCCTGCTGTGAGGAAACGGGCAAAAGGACTTGCCCAAATCAGCTGCGCATCCACAAGGGCAGCGCCGAGGGCTCGGCTCTTGGCGCAATCGAGAGCTTCGTTGTAGTCACGCTTCGCCAAGTGAACCTCACAGTGGCAGAACGAAGGAACCGCTGAGTCAAAATCCACCAAACGGTAAAGAGTGGAAAGGGTTACAACTCGTGACCTCGCCTGGGAAGCTGCATCGAGCGCCTCAGGCACCAAAGTTATGCCACGGACACGATTACATTTCCGAATCACTACATGTCCTGACCACCCGACCATCCCAACCCTTGCACCTCAGCCTCAGCCTTGCGATCGCGTAACTCCCTGGCCAAAGCTCGTGCCTCTCGGCTTCCACTGGCTTTGTCGCATGTTGTGCATCAGCACCACATCATGTCGATATCATGTGAGGCCGTGAGGCCGTGGCTTCGAACCATGCCTTGCCTCCTTCGCCGCACGAAGTGCTGCAGTTGCATCTCCCGCAAGCAGCTGCGCCTTCACAGCCTGAGCTCGATGGTCGGAGCTTTTTCCGAGCGCTGCAAACAAATCGACTGCAGACTTGCCCACGGATGCTACGGACTCGCACACGCACACGAGCTGACTTGAGCACTGTGGAACTGGTTCGGGCACCAGTAGTATTGTTGTCACTATAAGAAAGAACACAGACAAAATCATAACAAAACAACAAGCCAGAACAACAAGCCCTACACCCTCACAGCCCGCAACCTGGGCCTTTACACGCAGAAGAACTGCAAACTCTCATCGGTAAGGGTTTTGGTGCTGGGCATTCCTGAGCCCCCAACGGTAAGCCCAAAACCCTCAGCTGCAAAGCCGTACACATGCAGAACCGTGAACCTTGAGAACCCTGATAGAATCCTGGCCCACCCCGAAAATTTAAACCTTGAAAAACCCTGAACCTTAAACCCGCTTTCGCAAAAATAAGGCCTCAAAAACCTAAACCCTAACGCCGCGACAACCCAAAGCTCCGAAAAGCTAACAATGAAACTCTAGAGACTTTAGAAACCGCAAATTTGCCGAACGCCGTTCGAATCACACTTGCTCGAATCGCGGCTGGTGGTTCTCTGGTTGCAACGATCTGAG